ATGAAGAAAAAATTTCAGTAAGAGGACAGTCAGAAATCTTGAGATCTATACAAGAAATACAGTAACAAGAATGTATGTCATGGTCACAGAACATGCTACAAAACTAAGACTTCATTATAGGACAGCATAGGAAAATTCAACTTATCCACTCACCCAGGACACAACCTATAGTGAAGTATTATTTACTGTATATCATAATAAGCAGTAATCAGAAAAATATTAAGGCAGCATGCTGCCTATGAAGACTGGTATATTAAGTGTCATTTACAATGAGATATGAGTTCTTAGGATTTACCAAATTGAACTGTTTGTTATAAAAGGAAGATATGTACAAATAGTTCAGAAGTGGGGCTTGAGTCACAGCTTGTGTAAAAAATATTTATTTTAAAGTATACAGCCATACAGGCTATGAACAAAGAAAAAGTTCAAAATACAAGACCATGTGTCATTTCCTGATGCCAGGAACAGAGACTTCTAACAAACATATTAGGGTAGCTTACAAAACATCTAGCCATGATCTATTTTAACCACTAAAAAGAGGGACTAATTAAAAAAAAAAAAAAAAAGTTTGCTTTGCTTTGATAAAAGAATTATCAGAAAGAGGCAAAAACAGACTCCTGACAGTCTAGAGTAGGAAAAGAAAACACAGAACTGATATTCTCATCCAGCAGCTATCAGACAGCTTTCTAAGCAAGTCCAGGCACCCCTCTGAAGCAGCACCCTAGAGGTCTCCATTAAGTTGTCTCCCAGCAGCCTTGTTCACAACACCAGCCTTTTACACACACCCCAGCACCTGAAGAGCAGTTTTCTGGACAGCTTCATATTCTTTTTAACAAAGTTTATACCACAAAATCATTCAGCTACTAAATGCCTTATTACTAAAACTGTACTTTTAGCACTATTACAGGCTAAACGTGACAAAGTTTGCTTTCCAGAAAGCCTCACTTCTGCTGTGTGAAATCCAGTAACATCAGGATTTCGTACATATGCCATATGACAAGGTGTTTTCTCTACCTGCCAATAAGTTACTCAAAGCCCAAATATTTCCTCAATGTTCCAACACCCTGAGCTAACCAAAAATAACAAGACCACTCAGTTATTATTATCTACAGCCAAAAGATGAACTGTTTGAAGGAATATCAAAAAGGGACAGAGGCAGCTGTTATGGGACTCCCCTAAAAAAATCAATCACATTGCTCTCAGGTACAAGAATTTCTTAAATCTTTAACATGCACACATTTCGATGGAAAGAAGAAAGAACTACAGTACAATTAATCCTACTACTATCATCTGGTGTTCTCATTTGGATACAGAGCAACTCAGAAGGCACAAACTCAAGACTCATGAAGACTCAGCCTTCTTCTGCAGACGTGAGTGAGAGGAAGGGAGAAAGCACACATACAGAAAGCACAGACACACAAGTATCTCCAATATCTTTTATTATATATTTGGGAAAGTGAAAGGGAATGGGGAGGGGCTGCCCTTAAAAGGCCTAGAATAATAAGATGCAAGACAATCAGGTATTCAGACCAAGAACTTCCTCAGTCCTTTGACCTTACAGCTTAGTGGGAGACACACTAATGTGAACTTTGGTGTTCATAATTCTCTTCATATTCACCTGGACAGATCACAGTTGTTAGAAAACCTTTTAAGCCTTCCCACCTTTGATCTGGTCTTAATAGAAGCTGAAAAATGGCCAGATCCTGTATGGTATGTTAAGATTAGGTACTGAAGTTCTAAAGAAGTCCTCTTAGACACATCTTCCCAAGTGAATGAGACAGACTAGGAAGAAGACTAGGAACATCCTTACTGAGAGACTCAAACAGTCGTTTCACATATTTTCCTACATGGAGGATTTACGTGACTGTTAAAGAAGGAATTTTTTTTTTTCCTAGTAGATTACCTGAAAAATAATTAAGATAAGTGATCAGCTATTCCTTCCTGAAACTCCTGCACCTCCTCTAAAGAATGGGGGAGTGCTGCCTTAGCACGACACAAATGAGATCAATTAGTAAGGAAATTGCAGCCCATTCCTCTACCTGGCCTCCGTGGTTCTCCCTCTCCCGAATAAAGGGGTATGGGGCAGGTCCCGTCCTTCAGGAGCTCACATTGTTCGGGGCCCTGTGCATAAGAAGAACTGGCAAGGCCCCTTTTGGAGAGCAGATACACTGAACAGCCTCTCCCAGGCTCTCCATCGCCACGTCCCCGACCCTACGCCCCCGCCCTCCGGGTATGCCCTATGCTGAATCCCTGAGCTCCTCCGCCTGAGGAGGTTTCCCGTCCCCACGAGGCCGGTGGGATGGGCGGCAGCCCCGCAGCGGGACCCCGGGACAGGCCGGGCAATCCCGCTCCTCGGCGGGACGCTCGGGGAGGTCCCTCGGGCCGCCGTCCCCTCCCGGTACTCACAGTCCAGGTGTTTCTTCTTGGGGCCCATGACCTCGTGGGTCGTGGCCTTG